TACCTGCTAAAAAATAAAATGTTACTGTAATTTAAGTAATCAATTTTCCTTTATTATTTGCGCAAGATGTAAAAAATTTATTATTGCTATTTTTTTTGTAATATTAATTTTCTCCTTCCAATATATATTTAAAAATTAAGAAATATGAAAAAGCAATTTGAAAATAGATAGAAAAAAATTATTAAAAAAATTTCCCCCGTAAAGGATCGAACATTAATTAGCAGCACGATAAGCGAGCACACCACTACTTATGCTAGAGCGCCACTTGATAAACAGTCGCATTTAAGATAATATAAGCATGTATACAAAAAAATAAAAACTTTTACAGCTTTTTTTTCAAAATTGGCTTCGCATTTTGATAAAATACTTTACCACGATAACAACCTACTAGTATACTACTAATATACCAAACCTCGTTAAAATCCGTGAGGGCACAAACATAAGGTCTCCTTGTTAGATAATGTTCGGGTTATTTAACCCTTTGGAGGAAATTTGTACTTCGCAACGAATTGCTTTAGTAGATGCGACGTTAGTGGAGTTGCGAGGGCATGCGAGGTAATAGTGGGAGTGTCGTGCGTTGGGCCGTGGGGATGGGCCGAACACGTATGCACTTCCATTGTGAATAGCTAACTATAATATCTAGAGTAGACCCTCATATAACGCGTTATTTTTATAGTGCGGTTTGCATATAACGCGGAACAAAAATTGCGACAGTCCTCCTATAACGCGGTACTCTTATAACACGGTTTCCGTTTAACAACATTCCATCAACTTAAATGCTTTAAGAAAGTTCTCTATAACATGAATTTATCTATGTGTTAGATTTTTACAGTTGAAATTAACGGATAATTCTCTTCTTTTCCGTTTACCAATTTCAGTTATCAGGGAATTCCCTTATAAGCGAAGAAACGATGCGAGATCGTTCACAGTGCTTTATTTTAATGCTTAAGGGGTTACATGGGTTTACACCGGGAAAAAGTAGAATATTTTCAACAATTTTTTTTTCTATATAAAAAATGGAATTCTTATTCAAACTTTTTATAGTATTTAAGATACATATATAAAGAACATTTTCTGAATTTTTG